ACACTCGAACTAAAATCCGAACTGTCAAACGTTCACTGGGGTTGACAAGGGTGTCGAGCACGTGCAGAAGTCGCGATCAGACTAACCATTGCCGGCAAAGTTTACTCACAACACCCGAGAGAAGTAAAATGCCTCATCTCATTCTCCACCGGCCTCTGGAAAGATGAGAGTCAGAGCAAAATACGCTTATGGCTTATTTAATGTAAACGTTACGTCCTCGAATTCATTCTCTCCCACGCTTATATTCTTCTCTTTGCCAAAGAAGACGAAGACGAAGAAGAAGAAGAGAAAAAATCATCAAATTCAATCTCGAACAGTAAACAAAGCATGGAAGAGAATTTTTTTCTTCAATCAGGAACAAAAAGTTCCTGGTGAGCTATTTTTATTCCCAACTGATTCGGGGTCAATCATCTCGAATGCATATTATTCCTAAAAGTCGTTCCCTTCATTTCCATCGGCGATGAGAATTATCGCAAAATTTCTAAAAAGACAAAATCTGCAAAAAATCCAACCAGAAATTAATTTCAATATTATTTCAATATCACTCCTCGCTATTATTATTCATACTTTAGATTTTTTAATAAATTTAATTTTATTCATATTTAATTTATTCGACATTTATTTTTAATATTCGAAATTTTCTGTCCTGAAAATTATTTCAAACAGAAATGTTTTCAGGACAGAAAATTTTTTCATGACAGAAAATTTCGAATATTAAAATAAATTCCTACTTTTTTTTTAGCAAAATTGTTTAATTTACTCAAGAATTTATTTTCTTTCACTTCAGGAAAAAAAATTCAAATTCTTTAAACAATTTTTTTTTTTCTATAAAAAAAATTCTTTTCTAGAATTTGGAAAAAAATTCTATTCATTGAAGAATGCAGACCAGCAGTTGTGTGAATAGTTACACTTTATCAACTTCATAAGTGGATGATCTAACTCTACGTCCTCGAATAATAATATATGCTCTCATCAATGATTATAAATTTTAACAAATTTTTTCTCCTCTTAAAACCCTTCTTTTATTTTCAAATTCTGCTCTTTAGATGCAAAATCATAAAAAGTAGAAAAAAAATTACATTTATGTGTAAATTATAAAAAAAAATTTTTAATTAAAATTAAATTTAAATTCCTGAGTTAAAAAAATTTAAAAACAAAATCAAACTAAAATAATAACGTAAGAAAAAAAGTTTTCGAAAAGAACAAGAAATTACAATGAGAATAAATTATTTCCATAGATATTTATAATAGTCATAAATTTCCATTTCGAAAAAAGTAGTTCGTCCACTCATAAAAAAAAAGTGAAAATCAATTAAGCGAAACCAAAAGTAAATTTGTCAGCAACTTCATTATTTTCCTTTCTATTTTTTCTCCTCTATTATATGTTTACTCATAAAACCACGTGAAAGGATATTTTAATCGATTTTCCGCCTCAGCCTCTTTGTCCTCCAGAAATTGCTCACTGTTATTACCTCGATATTTGCAAAACAGAAGAAAAAAATCTCTGCTAAATGCAATATAATTAAACGAGTGCGAATGAAAGTCAAGGAGAAGGAATACAATCGATCACGATCAAATGAACTTGCTGAAAAGTCTCTCGATTGTCACACACATTATACTACATCAAAGCAATGATGTCATTTCGACGAGAATTATTCGCGTTTGTCCGCAATATTCTTCTAAACTCAAATGTATTTAGGTCTTTATTGAATAAATAAATAAAGAAGAGGGAATCTCTTTTATTTTTCTTCTTCAAACAGATGGAACATAAAATTTCTCCTTGCTTCGAAGAGAAGAAAAAAACAATCAAAATTTACTGAAATTTCTATACCAATTGTTGAACAAACAAAAAAGGAAAAAATTCGGAAATTTGCCCTTTTTTTGTTCAAATGCAAAGAATAAAAAAAAACTAATGAAAATTAGTTAGCAAAAAAATAGAAGAATCGAAAAATCGACCAACGTTTCGGATTGGGATTCAAGTTTCAAAGACACTCGACAACGTAAATAGTAAGAGATCCATGAGATCATACTCTTCAATTACGCAAGGTTTCCAAGTAGTTACAATCGACGCCCACTTGTACTTTTGCAACCTACATCCCTATCATGGCCACGTGCTCCTTCATCCTTGAAAAAAGACAAACTTTGATTTATAATATTAATGATTTACAATTTTCTATATTAATAATCGTTGTATTCCGGTAATCTGTTCGCAGTAATCTTTTCGAATATTTTCAATTTAAAAATTACAGTATTAAAAATCATTGAATTCTTGTACAGAATTTTGACAAAAAATTTGAGAATAATTAACTTCCTTCCCAGAATTTTATTATTTATGAAAATAATCGAATTCTCGTGAAAATTAAATTCTTCTGAAGAATATTTTTGGTTTTTTTTTTTAAATAATGGAGTTTCTTAAATAATAATTTTAACTGAAAATTTTTAAAGTAATTAAATTTTATGAACAATTTCTTTCGAGTTTTTAAAATAATCGTGTTTCTTAATAATTGACATTAAACATTTAATTATTGAATTTTATTAAAATTTTAAGAAAATAATTAAATTCTTCTCAGAATTTTATTACAATTTTCTAAAATAATTTAATTCACTCAAGGAATTTTTTTAAAATATAGAAAATAATTAAATTCTTTCGAAGAATAGATATACTACTTATTAAAGGTTTTGACAAAAATTGAATTCTTTAAAAAAATTTCTATAATTTATTGAATATAATCAATTTTCTTAATAATTTTAATTAATAATTTTACTATTTAAACTTTATTAAAATTATTGATAGAAAATTAAACTATTTTCAAAAAATTTGTCAGGATTTTTGTAAATAATTAAATTCTTTTGAAGAATTTGTTTCAAATTTTTGAAAATAATTTAAATTCTATAAAGAATTCAATTATTTATGAAAAAAATTGACTTCTTGAAAAGAATTTGTTTCAAATTTTTGAAAATAATTATAATCCTTCGAAAAATTTTATTATTAATGAAAATAATTGAAATCTTCCAAAGATAATAATTTAATAACTAATAAGTATTATTGAAAAAGAAAAATGTTTATGATACGAATATAATCGTCTAATTTTTTTTAAGAATGTTTGATTAAATAGTGAATATTGTTAATGATTAAATAAAATTACTTTTAAGCAAATAAAAAATAATAAGTATTTAAATATTTATTTTACAAAAATGATTGAAATTTGAAAGATTTAATTTGGACATTCTGAAAAAATTAGGTTTTTAAAAAAATAGTAATTAAAATTTTTTGAAGATATACTTGAATTCCCGAAAATAATTCTAAAAAATTGAAAATTTTGTAAAATTTTATATTTCAGAGAATTTTATTTTTTCATCTTTAAAAATTATCTATAAATATAATTGTATTTTTAAAAAAACGTTTTTTTAAGAGTTTACAAAAAATTTACAAGAATTCGATTCTTGAAATTAAAAAAATATGCTTTTTAAATGTTTGAAATTAAAAAAAAACAAAATTGAAGGGATTTTAATTTTAGAAACATTTGAAATTACTAATTTTTTTAGTTTTAAAATAAGAAATTCTCTGATTTTTGAAAATTTAAAATCTTTGGTTTATTAAATTGTTTCTTGAAAAATTTAATTAAAATTTTTGTTAAAAATAATTCTAAAATAGTTTTAAAAAATTGAAACAATTGAAAATTTTGTCAAATTTCATTGAAATAAATTTTTATATTTTAATGAATTTTTTTGTTTACTTTTTTAAAAATTATTTTGAAATATAATCGTATTTCTGAAGAATTCTAATTGAAAATTTGGAAAATAATTACGAAAAAAATATGAATTTCTTTAAATAAAAATGTACATCGTCTCTAGATTGAAATATTTTAATTTTTTCCCGTCTCAATCAGAGCAAGGGAAATAGATAAGCAGATCGGGGTCAAGACTTCGACCCTTCCCCAAAAAACCAATACACAATGATGCTTAGAGATTTAACGTTCCTCTAGAAAGATTATTACATAACAAAAAAAAATGTATTGATAAGAAAAATTAAACAAATAGATTTCTGCGACTGTAACCTAATTTCTAAACGTGAATACCAAGAAATTGAAAATTAGCCACTTACTACTGCGACGAGATAAAATCAAAGCTGATAAAATAATTCAGTCTCTCTTTCGTTGTCTTCATTCATAATTCTAAAGAATTTCAAATTTTCTCTCAGTTTCTTAAATTCTTGAAATAAAAAATAGAAATTTCCCCAAATTCAAATATTTTAATATCTATTTAATTCAATTTAATATTTAATATTAATTTAATTTAATATTTATTTAAATTAAATTTAATTTAATTTAATTTAATATTTAACATTATTACAAAAATAGAAAAAAATTATTTAAAGTTTTTTTTGCTGTTTTTAAATATTTAATTGTTAAAAATTAATATTTCTCAACATAACGTGAACAAAGAAAGAAAATTTACGTGGTGAGTGAAGAAAAGAATTTTTCTTTACGGAATTACAGTCTGGCGTGTGAATGGCAGTATAAAAAATAAAAATGTTGAGGATAATGAACGTGTCAAATTACTCTAGATTGTGAGGAGAACAATATTGTTCACAAGACGTTATCAATGACCAGATTTGCATGCTCAATAATTCAATATTCATAATTTGTTTTCAGGTAACTGAGTTGATTGCGAAATTCATCACTTCATACTCTAAATTAACCTTTTTAGCTTTCATTTGCATAATTCGATTTAATTAATTTTTAATTTTATTAAATCGTCATGCAAGCAATTATTTTTTAAGCAACAATTTTCTTTTTTAAACTAAAACTTTTTCAAAATAATTTTTAACAATTGAAATCAACTTTTAATTTATAATAATTTTCAGCTAAAATTAACTAAAATGAATTTTATTTAATTTATTCGAATAAAACTGATTGGCTCAAAAATAATTTTTAGAGACATAAAAATTTGAATATCGAGAAAAATATTCAAAAAATTGTGAAAGAAAATTAACTAACCTTGGTAGAAAAGGCATCCTCACACTCAGTGCAAAAGAGATTTTCCTCCTTCTCATGCAGCATCATATGAGACTTTAAACTCGCTTTTCGGGCGAATTTCTTTCCACACTCGGGACATTTGGGCTCGCCAATGTTGTGAGTTGCCATATGAAGAGTAAAATTCGTCTAGAAATAAATTTTATGCCATTTAAATTTAATAAATCTTTATTAATAACTTTCTAAATAATTTTTCTTTTCAAATTTTTGCGAAGAATTTTGTCAAAAAATTTGAGAAATAATTGAATTCCTTCGAAGAATTTTATTATTTAGAAAAATAAATGAATTCTTGCGAAGAATTTTGTTAAAATTTTTGAACATTCTAATTAAATTCTTTTTGACGAAGGTTTTTGAATTTTTTTTAAATAATGGAGTTTCTTTAATAATTGAAATGAATAATTTTGAAAATAATTAAATTTTATGAACAATTTCATTCAAGTTTTGAAAATAATCGTGTTTGTTAAACATTGAAATTAAACATTTAATTATTAAATTAAATTATTGAATTTTATTAAAATTTTAGGAAGCAATTGAATTCTTTTGAAAAATTTTATAACGAATTAAGAAAAAAATTTAATTCTTTCGTGCAATTTTTTTTTTTTTAATTACTGGATTTTTGCAAAGAATTTTACTATTTAAAAATAAAATTGAATTGTTTTGAAGAATTTATTAAAATTTTAAAAAACTATTGTATTCGTTCGTGAAATTGTTTAAAAATAATTTAATTTCTGACAAAAATTTTACTATTTATAAAAATAATTGAATTCTTGAAAAGAATTTTATTAAAATTTTTGAAATTAATTTAATAAAATCTATATTAATCATCATTGTATTCCGGTAATTTTAAATGTTAAATTTTAAATGTTTTCAATTTTTAAATTACTGTACTTTTAAAATAATTGAATTTTATGACGAATTCAATTATTTTTAATAACTCGAATAAAATTCTTTAGTCAATTTTTAAATGATAAAGAACCTCGTAAAAAATTCAATTATTTTTATACAATTACCTAATAAAATTCTTATCAGAATTTCACTTATTTTCAATACAATTTTAATTAATTTCAACAAAAAATTCAATTATTTTTAGAAAAAATTGAATTTTTTTTACAAGAGTTCAATTATTTAAAAAACTTTTAATAAAATCCAATTCAAGAATTCAATTATTTTTAAAAATAATAAAATTTTCGTTGGAATTCAATTATTTTAAATACAATTTTAATAAAATTCTTCTAAAAAATTCACTTTTTTCAAATTTAGCAAAAATTTTATTATTTTCAAAAATAATACATTTTTTTTTATCAGGAATTCAATTATTTAAAAAAGTTTTAATAAAATTCAATTCAAGAATTCAATTATTTTCAGAAATAATGAAATTTTTAATGTACTGAAAATCATTGAATTCTTGTAAAATATTTATTAAAAAATTTGAATATATTTCAATTCATTGCAAAAATCTTATTAAAATTTTTTCAAATAATTTAATACTTGGAAAGATTTTTATTAAAATGCTTTAAAATTATGAATTTTTTTAAAAATAATTTTTACTGAAAATTTTGAAAATAATTGAATTTTTAAAATCATCGTGTTTATTATTAATTGTAAGTAACGATTTTTTTTATTAAATTAAATTAAAATTATTTACATTAAATTAAATTCTTTTAAACAATTTTATTAGAGTTTCGGTAAATATTTACATTTTTTTAAAAATTTCATTAAATTTCGTAAAAATAATGGAATTTTTTAAAGTAAGTAATTATTATTGAAAATTTTTTTAAATAATTGTATTCTTTCGAGAAATGTTATTAAAATTGTATTGAAAATAATTGAATTCCTCCGAAACATTTTATTATTTATGAGAATAATTGAATTCTTTTGAAGAATTTTATTATTTATGAAAATATTTTAATTCTTGCAAAGAATCTTCTTATTTATGAAAATAATTAAATTCTTGTGGAGAATTTTACAGTTCATAAAAATAATTGAATTGTTTTCAAGGATTTTATCTGAATTTTTGAAAATATTTGAATTTTTTGAAGGAATTTTATTTTATTGAAAATAATCATATTTTTAAAAGAATTTCATCAAAATTGTTGAAAATAATTTAATTTATATTAAAATTCTTGAAAATAATCGAATTTAATTAATATTTTTTAAAATAATCGTATTCTTTTGAGAAATTCTATTAAAATTGTAGTGAAAATAATTGAATTACTTTAAAGAATTTTATTATTCATGAGAATAATGAAATTCTTGCGACAAATTTTATTCAAATTTTTGAGTAATAATGAACAAGAATATTTAATACTCACCGGGACATTAAATGATGCAGGACATTTTGGACAACGATGTGGTTTCTCCTCTGCATGATGCTCCATGTGTTTACGATATAAATGTTTCTTTTTAAATTCTTCACCACAAATTTCACACTTTAAATCGATATTTTTCTGAAATTTGATAATTAAAATTATTTAATCAAATTGCCCAAATTCATCAGACACCCAAAGAGTTCAAAATAATTGAAGAAATTAAAAATCACATACAAGAAAACATTCGTATTTTCTCGGTCGGCCAGGTTTTCGTCTAGAGGGTGAAGAAGATTTTTGATGATTGGAAGACTTTGACACTAAAGAGGTAGATTTCGTTGGTATTGGTAAAGAAGTTTGGACCGTTGGAGATTCATCTTCAGAAGACTTTTCCGTTCTTACTTCAATGGTTCGATACTGAGAAATATGATACGCAATTTGAGATTGATCCTCCTTTGTTGTCTCTGTTGAATCGTTTGAAATAAAGGAAATCATGTGAGCAGGCACCAATATTGATTCTTGAGAGCGTAATCCAGATTCATCGACACACACTTGCAAAACAGACTGAAATTTTCCCTTATTAGTTTTTAACCAGAAATAAACCAACTTCAAAAAATTTAAAACTTCTCCTTTCTTTTTAATTTAAAAAATAAATTTCACTCACCGTATTTGGTGAAAGATTCCGATTAGATTTTGAACTATGTGAATTGTCGTTGGTTTCATTCACGAAAGTAACTGGCGAATTCATCAATTCAATCGTACCATCTCCGACATCTGTAAACAATTCGAAAATTCACTTTTATAAACATAGTCTTCTCAAAATAAATATTAATTTTAAAAATGTTTCGCCCTGATTGCTTATAAAGATATAATCGAAAATATTCACCTGATACAGCCAGCAATGTTTGTCCATTATCGGAAATAATAAAACTCAACGGGATGGAGTCCATTGTTGAATTAGTAACAATTGTCTGGGATGTCAACATTATTGCGTATATCGTTATATTCCAATAAATTAAAAATTCACTGCAGAATACTTTGCATTTTTACCATTTGGTCGATAACATCTTTCTTGAATGTTAGATTGAAAGAGTGTAAATCCTGTACAAAAAAAGAAAAATAATTTGTTTTATATGTCAAAAATCATAACCTATAAAAATATTATAACTCTTTCAAAGGTTCAAACTTTCAAATTACGGAGAATTTCACCAAGATTAATGAAAAGTAACTACACGAGACTAAAAATTACATTATTAAATTGCAACAAAATTACCCATTCTTCTTTTTTTTGACCTTTTTAAACAAGAAATATACATTAATTAGTATTTACTATATTTTTTTTTGTTATTTGTTATTTACTACGTTTACTACAGTGACTACAGTCCAACTGTGAAAATTGAGTAAATTTCGTTCCCATCCCTGGGTAAAGGTGCTTTCACAAAATGACATATTGCCTGCAAAAAAGTACTATGAACTGACCGTAACGGAAAAGAAAAACAAAAAACAGATTAATCAAAAGGACAATAATTAATAAACTGTATTAACGGTATTAACTGATTAATTGTTAATAATTATTATAAATAAAATTACTTATTTCTAATAATAACAAGGTATAGACTGTCTTTTTATATATTTTGAAGTTTTACTCAATAAAAGTTTTCCTTCTAAACAAATTTGACAAAATATCAAAATAATCACTACTTTCTGTCAACAATATTGTACTTATTTAATTTTTAAAAATGTCTCCAAGAATAGCGTACTTAACAAGAAAGGAACACATATCCTCGGCTCACAGGTTACACAGGTAAAAATTTAAAAATAACTCCAATATATAATTTATTTAATTTCATAAATAATAACAAAAATAATAATTTAATAACAAATTAACCTCAAACAGGGTGGCCGCACATATAATTAAATTTTTCAGATATGTAATATAAATCTTTACGAATAATTGAAATTTTCTAAAATTTAATTGAAAATAATTCATTTTTTCAAGAATTTTGTTACATTTTTTCAGAATCAACTTTTGAAGAATTTTAATTGCAAATTTTGAAAATAATTAAATTATCAAAACTTTTAATGAAAAATCTTTAAATGTAAAATTTAAAAATGAAAATCAATCAAAATTGGCTTCTAATTTTTTAAAATTCAATATTTTTAATCAAATATTTCCGAAAATTCAAATAATATTTTAGAAATTATTATTAAAATTTTGGAGAAAAAAATCATGTTAAAAAATTTTAATTAAAATTCATCAATAAATGAATCAGTAAAAAAAAATTTAAAAAAAAAATGAATCAGAAATACAATTATTTTTAAAAAATTACATTAAAATATTTTTAAAAACTAATTCTTCGAATTGTTTATCATAATTTTTTTAAAATTCAATTATCGCCGAAAAAAGTAATTTAAAATTTCCATTATTTTTAAAAGATTTTATCAAATTTCAATTGTTTGGAAATTTTTCAATTGTATATTATAAATTTATAATTGAAAAAACTATTATTTTTAAAAAATTATTTTAAAATATTTTTAAACAATTAATTTTATGAATTACTTTTTATTATAATTTTATTGTTAATTATTTTGAAAAGATTTTACTAAACAATTATTTGAAAATTTTTTGATTGTTTAATTAAAAAACTATTATTTTTCAAAAATTATTAAAAAATATTTATAAAAAAAATTTATTGTAAGAATTTCTTTATTATAATTTTTTGAAAATATTTTACCATAATAACTTAAGAAGAAAAACACGGATAGTTACAATTATTATAAAAAATTGAGTTTTTATATTTAAATAATTGAATTCTAGAAGAATTTCCAAAAAATTATTTAAAATAATTGATTTAGAAATGAAGTTTAGTTGAAAATTGTAGAAAATAATTGAATTCACTGTAGGATTATAATTATAATTTTTCAAAATTATTAAAATTCATCAATTTTTGCTCATTATTCTTAAACTTTCATATTTTCCTGTAAAAAGAATTTTGCCAAGGAAAATAATTTTAATGTCAGTATAGATTGTCAGGGTAATTGATAAGCTGAAAATTGTGATCAATTTGTAAAAGTTATGTTTATAATTTAATAAATCTATTTAAAAACTAACTTTTTTATTTTATTCACAGTCCTGAACTGAGTGACGAAGAAAATAAAAAAATATACGGAAAGTGTAACAATTTTTGGGGCCATGGACATAATTACATTGGTAATTAATTACAAGTATCATTTAATTTTTTAATTTATTTGTTTACGTTTTTTTTAAATAATTCTTCTCACTTCTAAATTTTCTTTTAGTCGAAGTTACCGTAAAAGGACCAGTTGATCCAATTACCGGAATGGTAATGAATATTACCGACTTATCACGTTACATGAACGATGTTTTAATGACCAGATTGGATCATAAAAATCTCGACAAAGATGTACCGTATTTTGAAAAAAAAGTATCAACCTCCGAAAATGTGGCAATTTACATTTTTGATGAATTGAAAAAATTACTTCCAAAACCGGAATTAATGTACGAAGTTAAACTTTATGAGACTGATAAAAATATTGTTATCTACAGAGGAGAATGAATTATTTATTAATATTTTCTTTCACCGAATTCTTATATGAATATTATCAAAATGTAATTAGATTTTTTCTCTAATTACTTATTTTTTTCATGCAAAATAGAATTTTGATTCATTAATATTTTACTCTCGCTTCTGCAAGAATTTAAAATTTATTTTTTTTTTTGTTTTCTAGGGAAAATGATATATTTTTGTATTAAAAATAGTTTTATATTTATAATAAATTTATTTATTTACGTAAAAACATGTATATAAATATATTTACAAGACAAAGATCACAGTTTATGTATAATAATGTTAAAAACTTTAAAAGTAATTATTTTGAAATATAAAAATCTTGAAATGTAAATTATTTTTCGTTTTCTAAATTAAAAATATCGAAAACAAATTTTTATAATACGAAATTATGTACGAAATACAGGTACTTAAAATAATTATTGTGTTGCGCAATATGACACTTTTATCACAATTTACTTCTTCAGTAAAATAAATTTTCAACATTTGATCTTTCGAATGTTGTTGGCATTTTACTAAATAAATTTCCTTAAATTTCTCACTTTGGAATATAAATTCAGTTATAAAAATTTAGTCATATAATTTTTACTACAAATTCCAGTAGTATTACAAATATATTAAATATGTACTTTTAAAGATTAAAAATATTAGTCTACAGATTTCACATATCACTGTTTCAATATTAGAACATTAAAACAAGAAGCAAAGATTTCTTCTCACAAATTTATAATGTTCTAAAAATAGTTTTCCATTATTTCATTCTTATCAGTTATTTTCTAAGAAAACAATATAGTATTTCAAATAGAAACTTTGGAAACACTGATAATATTTCTTTGTTTATAATGTTAAAAAACATTTCATTATCGATAATTATATGTGCGTATTGTAATCAATTTTTATGTAACTTTTAATTGTTACGTAAGGAATTCCCAATTCAAAATCATCACGTGGCCAATACTTGAGTAATGGAGATTGATGTGGTTTTTCGTCTTTCACTGAGAAATAGGCGAAAAGTACCGTCGCAGTATAACTGGCGATAAAAATAAATAAATGCCACAAAGCATGAAGATAAGGGAAATTTAAGTTCATCCATGTCTCACAAAATAGTCGATCGTTTAGCCAACAAAACACTGATAAAACCCACATAGCACCACATCTCAAGCCGAGACGATAGACTCTCGTCGATTTGGTCCTTTAATTTAAAAAAAAAACATATTTTAATAATAAAATCCTCACGTTTGATATAAAAATACAGTTAAAATATTCAGACCTCGGATCGACTTTAACTTTAGCCAAAAAAGTCGCTTTAGTCGATTAAAAATAGAAAAAAAGTCGTTTATTTCATTCAGTGTTGTCACAAAAAATTTTATTTTGTATTTTCCTGATTCTTCACTGATTTCTGAATTCAATTAATCAAAAATCGAATAATTTTACTAAATAAATATTTAAATGCCAACTTCTTATTTCTTTTTTCATGGGAAATAAAATTTTAAAAATTTCAACTTCTGAAATTTAATAATTTCTAAAAATAAAAACCATATCTTCCAAAATTCAATTATTTCCTACAATTTTCAACTAAACTTCATCTTTAAATCAATTATCTATATTAATTTTTAATAATTTTCCAAAATATCTTCAAGAATTCAATTATTTAAATACAAAAATTCAAGTTTTTATAATAATTGAAACTGTTAATTTTTTTAAAAATATTATTAATATAGAATATTTTCAAAAGTTTTAATATAAAGAAATTCTTAAAATTATTTTTTTAAAAATATTTCTAAATAATTTTTTAAAGACAACATTTTTTCAATTAGATACAATTAAATATGCTCAAAAAATTAAAATTTGGTAAAATCTTTTAAAAAATAATTGAAATTTGGTAAAATCTTTGAACTGAATCTTAAAAAATTATGATAAAACAATTCGAAGAATTAGTTTTTTATAAATATTATAATGTAATTTTTACAACCCTAATTTCCATTAATTTTCATTTTTATTAAATTTACACTTGAAGATTTTTCATTAAAATTATTGAGAATTCAATTATTTCCGAAATTTTCAATTAAATTTCTTTAAAAGTTATAATTTTTAAAAATTGTAATAAAATACTTGAAAAAAAATATTTATTGTCAATTAAATGTAAGTGTTAATGGTTTCCTTTAAAAGTTATTAAGGTGAAATATTTTCCAAATTTTATATGAAAAAAAAATTTGTTAGTAAATTTTTTAAAAATATTTTTAAATAATTTTTTTATTATATTTCATTAAAAAGCTTTGAAACCATTTTAAAATAATGGAAATTTGTTAAAATCTTTTAAAAATAGTGGAATTTTTGAAGAATATAAAAAGATAATCAAATTTTTGAAGAATTTCAATTTTAAATATCATTAAGTTTTCTCCGAAATTTTATTAAGTTTAAAAAAGTAAATTTTAAAAATTTTAAATTTACTTTGGTGGATAATTAAAAAATTATCATCAAAAATTTCTGAGAATTAGTTTAAAAATATTGTAATTTCATTTTTCAAAAATAATTGAATTTCTAAAAAGAATTTTTGCAATAATTTAATAAAAACTAATTAATTTTTTAAATAATTTTAATTAGAAATTTTGAATATGATTATTTTCTCCAAAATGTTAAAAATGATTTTAAAAAATGTTAATGTTATTTTTTCTATGTATTTGAATGCTCGAAAATATGTAATTGAAAATATTGAAAATAATTTAATTTTAAAAAAATAGAATGAAAACATTTTGAACTTTAATAATTTCTAAAAATTGAATTTTGAAAATTATAAAAAAAATAATGATGTTTTCGAAGAATTTTAATTAATAATATGAACATAATTTCTCCGAAGTGTTAAAAATAATTTTAAAAAATTTTAATGTTCTTATTTTTTCTATGTATTTGAATTTTCGAAAATATGTAATTGAAAATATTGAAAATAATTGAATTTTAAAAAAATAGAATTAAAAAATTCTAAGAAAAATTATTCAAAAATAACTTTTCAAAGATTTGTCTATTGTTATACTTTTTAGGCAATAAAAATCGAAATAAGTTGCTTTTTATACTAAAAATGTGGTATTTTGTTGCAAAATTTGGAAGAAAAGTCGAAAAAGTCGCAATTCTTTAAAACAAGTTGAAAAAAATTTCATTTTTTGAAAATAGATGAAAAAAAAGTCGAAAAAGTCAATAATCCGAAGCCTGAATATTTGTGGATTTAAATTAGAAATTTAAATTAAAATATAGAATAAGTCAATTTAAACTAGAAATTAAAATTTAAATAGAATAAGTAGATTTAAATTAGAATTTTATATGTACAATGTATGCATGGAATATAAATTGTAAAAACTGTAAAAAGTGTACAATGAAGAATAAATAAATCTAATCTAAAAAATTAGAATTTTAAATTTAAATAGAACAAGTAGATTTAAATAATTTTTAATTGCAAAATAAAATTGACTCACCGTTTTAATTCAACTATCAAAAAACCAATAGCAGGAATTCCAAGAGTCATCAATGCAAAAGCATTAAGAGACGGATGAATTAATGCCAATCCAGTGACAATTACAGTCGACGAAAGAACGTAAAACGAAAAATGTTTTCTATTATTATTCATAATATTCGGAAAATATCTTCTTGGAAAAAACATACAAAAACCAGCCATATAGACCCACAGTATCGCTAATTCATCTAAAAGTTGACCTAAAATGCAGAATTTCAATTTTTTCTTACAGAACAAAAAAGAGACAAAATAATAAATGAATGAATAAATAAATTAATTAATTACCTATTAGAGATAAAGTTGCATGAAAATACGCACTACTAACACCAACTACCATTAAAAGGAACCATATTATATGAATTCCAGGATTAACAAATCTTCCGTAATCCTTAAATAAATGCATCAGAATTGGTGGTAACAATAAAAACAAAACATTGCTGAGCTAAAAATACAAAAAAGTTATCATTAAAAAATAGATTTACACTTTATATTTAATTATATTGCTTCCTCATAGAGGAAGTATTGTTTTATTACAGTTTCAAAAAATTGTCATTCTGTTTTTTTTAATTTATTTAATAAGACTAACCGTGTTCATGAATTCAGCAATGCTGGGTGATATTAGATAATTTCCCTCACACCAATCAACTGGTGAACTACCAGCTTCAAAAGGACTCCACATTTTAAATTAAATACAATTTTTTCCTCAATAATTGCATATCATTGTATAATATTCTACTTGTAGTTAAAAAATTCGTAAACAAAGAAATGACAGATTCAAATCATCGTTCAATATCACAAGTATCACATCAAAAGGAGTACAAAGGAATGAATCGAATGAAGAATGAACTTTTGTACGCAGTGTTGACTCTTTTTCCTAATCTGTCATTGGTCCAACTACTGTGAACTACTGCGACTGCTCAGAAAATTATTTTTGTAAATAAAGTGTTATTCACACGGCCAAAACCCCTGTTATTTCAACATTTTTCAAGTTTCCCATCCCTGAATTTGCTTCTTCAACTTCCCAACTATGGAAGAAGTTTTATTTACATTCACGTGCAGTCGGCAAAAATATCAATTACTCCGTGGTAATTAATTAAAAAATATTAATTTGTAAATAAATTTCTCAGAAAAATATATTAAAAATGCAGAGATTAGAAAAATTGTGTAATCAAATTCGTAAAACAAACAGTGTTGCATCGTGTCCAACATTCGCACGATATTTATGTACAGAAAAATCAAACGACCAAGAAGTGAGAGAATCATTAGAAAAATCAAGTTTATTGGCAGATTCAATTGAAAATCAACTAAGAGGATTTGCAAAATCAGTGGAAAAATATAAAACAATAACGGAGAAAAAAGTTGTCAAGGGAAAGAGTTTTGTAACTCTTCTACGTAATTCGAAACTTATGGATGTAAGACAAAAAACAGTTCGAATTTTTTAATGTAAAGTTTACTTGAAAATATATTTTTCTTTGTTTAGAAAATAAATTGAAATTTACAAGTAGAAAATAAATTTAATCATAGCAAATAAAGAGAAAAATTACTTATAGCTTGGCGATCCAAACGGAAGAGTCGTGAAAGGAAAAGTCATACACGTTGTTGAGAACGATTTACACATCGATTTCGGATGGAAATTTAATTGTGTTTGTAAACGACCTGCACTACACGCAAGGTAATAATCTCAAAATTCTAACTTTGATTCAATATAAATAATTCAAATAATTCTAAATTGTAATTTCTACTCTTCTTTTTTTCAGCGATTATGTAAGAGGCTCGATTGTACGTTTAAAGATAAAAGAACTTGAATTATCGACAAGATTCTTAGGCTCAACGAAAGATTTGACTATTCTCGAAGCAGATTGCATTCTCCTCGGTCTTCTCTGGTCACCATTGAGAACCAAAACATACAGAGTTTAGCAAAATAAATGTAAATACTTTTTATAGGGATTTTAATAAAAATTATTTATAAAAATAAGAAAAGGAATTGAAAAATGAAATTAAAACGGAAAAGGTATGATTAAAATTTTTTCAAAATTATGCAAAATCAAGGTTGCTAGGCAACCTGGAAAACCTGGAAATGTCAGGGGATTCGTTTTTCTAAAATAATTTATAAGTAACTATTTCTATATTTTAGTATGTTGAATTATTATTACTAATATTAATATAGATTGAATAATTAAATATTTATTTAAAAAATTCTATTTAAAAAATGATTTTACAATTAAAGATATTCAAAAAAATGTATTACAAACATTTTTTGAAATTTCAATTATTTTTGAAGTAAACTAAAATATTTTTAAGATTTTGAACCGGGAAATGACCGTGAAATTTCTTTTATGAAAAAAGTGGCCTCCCTGAATTATACAAAATATATTTTTATTAAAGTTTTACAAAATATCTTCACATTTTTCGAAATTGAATGTTTAATTCATTGATTCTTTGAATTTTCTATTCTACTCGGATCATAATTTAAAATTTCGTCAATAATTTCCGATCGCTCTAACTTCTCCAATCGACTTTTCATTTGAAGTGCCAATTGATTTGAATTTTTCAAAAACATTCCACTGTGATGTAAGGCAATAATATACGGAAGGGAGCACCATTCTTTTTTAACAGTCCCCCAAAGCAACGAAGAAATGTAACAATTAATCAACGAAACGTCCGTTTCAATCGGATACAAAAATTCATCAATGGAACATAACAATTTATCAATTGTTATTTTGATATATCGCAAAGTTCCTGCATGTTCAGACCACAACATTTTTCTATAATGAACGTCCTGCCGTTGTGAGATAAATGTCAAAAGTACAAGAGTAAAATAATTATTACCATAGGAATGCGAGAAAAAATTTTCACACAAAGCCGTGAACATATCGGTGAATGAACTTAAACCCGGAACATCTTTCGTTAAATTCAACTTTTTATTGTGTTTCCTAAAAAAAGTTGACATAACACTTTCAATGAGGGGCGAAATATTTTTCTCATTAAACACCGTTCCGCAGAGAAAAACAAGAATTAATCGACTAAACTGTAAATTTGGTGTTAAATTCTCAACTAATTCCGGAAGTCCCAAATATAAATTCAAAACAAACATAATTTTCTCCTTATCTTTTTTCTCAACTTGATGGGAAATTTTCAAATTCCTATAAGTGTCGATCAATGGTAAAAAGATCCAATCTTTTGGCAATGCCGTCTGTCCCCAATTTCCCTTCACAGGAATATAACTCTCGTAAATTGTTATTAATTCAACAGATAAATTTACACAAATCTGATTTTCGTTCGCTATGTTCAAATCTTGAAGATTGCTCAAAATTTCCTGAACACTCATTTTTTTCGGATCTAACATAAAGTGCAAAATTTCTCTCGTCTGCGAGGAGAAATCTCCCGGCAAAGCGGAAATCAATTTCATAGACAAAATCCAGAGAGTATTTTTCATTTTCTCCGAAATTTCTGGAAATACTTTCGCTGCTTTTATCACATTTGTCAGAAAATTGAATTCTAGTCGAGTGAACCAGGAATTCTCCAACGACCATTCGGAAGTTGAGAGCGAAGTAATGTATTTGATAAAATCTCCCTGAGTGAAGAACAACTCAATTTCGGTTCTATGGGAAAATTTGGTAAAAAATTGCAACGCTTGGGATAGAAAAGAAAAAGAGGAGCTCTGCGACAATATCGGCTGCAATTGACCATTTTCTGTCAAAGCCCCGAGAGAAGGCAAAGAAGAAGGACTTCTCTCCTTCGCATTCGTCAATCCACTCAATAAATTCGACGTCGAATTCAAACTTTCGAAAATTTTCGAATTCAACAACCATTTAAATTGAAACGACCCCTCCGAAAATTCTTCAAAAGCCAACAAAACCTGAAGAATCAATTTCATATTTCCCCAAGTTGGCGACGTAGCACTAGATAATTGTGTACTCCACTTCTTCAACGACAGCAAAATATCCGATCGAAATGAATCCTCATGACTCACCACCGACAATAAAGCTGCCGCGTGTTCACAAAATAATTCCGAAGCCTCTCCAATATTAAGTTTTTCAAAACAAATCTTCTCTTGGGATTGCAAAATAATTCTCGAACCACTGAGCGCATCGTGCGTAAAACCATGAAGCAAAATAAGTTTCCAAAGTCGTAGACACTCGATATACAGAAAAGTTCCACTAGATCCAGCCTCACAGCCCAAGTAGGAAATAATCGAACCGACCAAATTCAATCGACAAAGTTTCTCCACTGCCGGTCTTCCCGCATACGTTACAAGAATCCGAAAAAATCTCAGTGCACTAATTATCGGAACACCGTAAGCATCCGTCACATTCTCCCTATCAATCAACTTACGACTCGTCAAGGGAACAAAATTTCTACTAATCACCTCCAGCAAATTTTCAACCCCAAGAATATTCAATGCCATTTCCACCGAGTGTCTACATAACCGAATCAAAATTTCCAAACACGAAGAAACACCAATCGGCGGTGGGTGCATATCACTCAAAATGTACCGAATTCTCGGCACAAGGTCCGATCGAAAACAAGTTGCGACGGTGTCCAAACGAGCAAGTTCGTGATCCTTGAGAGCTGCCAAATCCAAGTCCTTCTCCAACTCAGGTTTGAGAATCGGTTCGGAAAAATCGTCAAGTCCAAAATAACGATCTAGACAAACCTCGTCTTCTTCGTTATAGAGAAAATTTCTAAGCGCTTGTAGAGCTGAGGTGACGACAGGAGTCGATGAATCGTCAATCGAGAAACGTAACAAAAGAAGTAGGTTTTTTTCATTCAGAGCTGAGAGTGGTGCTGGATGGAGAACGGAATCGTACCAACCTCGTCGACTCTTCTCGATGATGTTTGCCAAAGTTTGCAGAGCGATTGAACGTTGCTGAAGAGATGACGAACGGGTAAGTTGAAGTAATTCCTGCAGTGAATATCCAGGACGTTCCGGCTCATCTCCATGGTGATGTAAACCCTTGTCAATCGTGATACTATCGTCATTGAACGGAAGCAGAATTCCATTAAAATCAAAACGAGCATTATACGGTTCGTTCCTATCGATCTCTTCACTTTTCTTAACCTCCTCCATCCATTTTGTCTTCTCCTTCTCGACAACGTCCATATGGACCCAATTATTTCTCTTCGCCTCGGTGAAAATTTCCTCCATCATCTCCGGAAGTTCCTCGCTCTTCGATTCGTTTGAACTTTTTTCCGGAATTTCCTCCCTCTTCGATTCAGTCAAACTTTGAAATTTCACCTCTTTTTTGATTCGTGAGTCATCGGATCGTTCCTTTTCCCTCTTTCTCCGCTTGATAAATTCTATTAAACTCGGATTCAATGTCGATTCCAACTTTCTCTTTTCACGAAGAATATCCTCCTCTGTCATCAGACCATAATCTTCAAATTTAACATCAATTTTCCCCTCTTTTGAAGGTTTATTTATTTTCCCCTCTTTTGAAAGTGCTTGCATAAATAAACTTCCTTCCTTATTTCCCTTCGATTCTTCAGAAATGAAAATAGACGGGAAACCAGTTTTTGAAGAACTTGCTTCGTTTTTAAATATGGGATAAAATTGGTCCGATGCATTTCTTTCGACAATGTTACCAAGAATGAAAGTCGAAGGAGAAATTTCTAAGTTTGGATCATCTTTGGAGTTGGTTTTCAATTTTTTACTTAAAGCGAACTTTGACGTTCGCTTGGAACATTTATTTTGATTACTTGATTGATCTGAAGAAATATTTACTGATGGTTTAGTATTCGACTGGAGAAATTCCTCCTGCATTCGTAGTAAATCATCTTCGTTTTCCTTCGCCTTTGGTCTCTTTAATGTCATTGGATCATCCATTTCTAAAAATTGTATCAGAAAATTAAAATTTAATTCTAAATTTTGATATTTACATTACTCAAATTATTTTTATGCTACAATTTTAATTTAATTCAATTTTAATAATAACAGGCCTCGGATCGACTTTAAGGGGCAAAAAAATCGCTTTAGTCAATTAAAAAGAAAAATTCGTTTATTTAATTGAGTGTTGTCAACAAAAATTTTATTTTGTATTTTCCTGATTTTCCCCTTTTACTGATTTCTAAATTAAATTCAGGGATTTCAGAGAAATTAGAATTGGTCAGGGAAATCAGGGAAAAGTCAGGGATTTTTTTTTAAAAGTACAGGAAAAAATTAAATTTTTAGAATTTATAAGAAAATTCTGAATTTTGGAGTCTTTTTTGTTTGCCTCATAAACTATGAAAATGCCACGAATTCTAATACAAAACCTTCGATTTTTCTATTTCTGACAATAATTTATTTTTAAATAACTTAACAACTGATTACAGAAATTCAATTATTTTCAAAAGTGATAAACTTCTTCGCAAAAATTTAATTATATTCAAAAATTTTTTTAAATTCTCGTCCAAATTTAAATTTTTATTATAAATAATAAAATACTTCTTCAAAATTCAGTTATTTTCAAAAAATTTAATAAAATTTTTAGTAAAATTTCAATTATTTCCAAAAATTTTCCTCATTTCAATTATTTTTAATATCTACGATTTTAATAAAATTTTCCAAAAGAATTCAATTATTTAAACAAAATTTTAATAAAAATTCCACAGGAATTCAGTTATTTTTAATTTTTTTTTTTGAGAATTGAAAAAAAATAGTTCTGAGAAATTCAACTATTTCGAAAAATTTAAATAAAATTCATTTAAAAATTCTATTATTTAAAAAAATGTTGACAAAATTCTTTACAAGATTTAGTTAATAAAATTCTTCTCAAGAAATCAATTATTTTCATAAATAATAAAATTTTTCCTGAGAATTCAAATTATTTTAAAACATTTTGATAAAATGCTTTATAAATTTGTATTCTTTCAAGGAATACAATTATTGTCAAAAATGTTTATAAAAATCTTCGAAACAATTCAATTATTTGCGTAAAAAATAAAATTCTTCACAAGAATTTAATTTTTTTCAAAAATAAATATTTTCACAAGAATTAAATTATTTAAAACAAAATGTAAAGAAATTCTTCATCAGATTTCAATTATTTTCAATTTTTTAATGAAATTTCTCAATGGAATTTAATTATTTTTAAAAAAGTTTTAAAAAATCTGAGAGATCCAATTTATTTAAAAAGATTTGAATTAAATTCTTTTAAAAATTTTTGAATAAAATTCGTTGCAAGAATTCAATTATTTTTAAAAATTTTGATAAAATTCTTCATTAAAATTCAATTTTAAGAAATATTCAATTATTTAATAAATTATTTGTTTTTTTATTTAAATAATTGAATTCTCGTAAAATCTTCTAATAAAAATTGATTAAAAAATAAATTTCATTTAAAATTTTAAATTATAGTAATTATTAAAGAAATATTTATTTAAAAAAGAAGTTATTAATGTTTTCGAAGAATTTTTATTAATAATATGAACATAATTTCTCCGAAATTTTAATAAGTAAATTTAAGAAAATTTAAATTTTCATTGTTCAAATATAATTGAATTTAAAAAAATTATAATAAAACAAATCTAAGAATTAGTTTTCTAAAAATATTGTAATTTAATTTTTTGAAATTAATTGAATTTCTTACAAGAATTTTCGTCTAATTTAAAAAGAATCTAATTAAGATCTTGAAGGATTTTAATTAAAAGTTTTGAACATGATTATTTTCTCCAAAATGTTAAAAATAATTTTAAAAAATTTTAATGTTCTTATTTTTTTTATGTATTTGAATATTCGAAAATTTGTATTTGAAAATATTGAAAATAATTGAATTTTTAAAAAATAGAATGAAAATATTCTTAAATAAATAAATAAATCTTAAATAAATATTTTTAAATATAATTTTTTGGAAGCTAATTTTTATTAATTTTCATTTTTCAAATTTAAACTTGAAGACTTTTCATTAAAATTGTTGAGAATTCAACAAATTGAATTGAATGGAAAATTTGCAATTGAAATTCCTCATAATTTGATTTTCAAAAATTGTAATAAAATAAATAAAATACTTGAAAAAAATCAATTATTTTCAATTAAATTTTACAAACATTTAATTATTTATCATATTTTGAAAATTTGCAATTAAAATTCTTTATAATTTTTTATTTTAAAAAATTGTAATGAAATACTTGGAAAAAATCAATTATTATAAATTAAATTTTACAAAATTGAATTTCTTCAAAATGTTTTTAATTTTATATTTCGAAAATTTAATCAGGAAAATTATTCAAAAATTATTTTTGAAAGATTTATAAAATAGAAATAAGTTGTATTTTATACTAAAAAAAAAGTGGTATTTTGTTGCAATATTTGGACCAAAAGTCGAAAAAGTTGCAATTTTTTAAAGCAAGTCGAAAAAAGTGACAATCTTTTGAAAATAGTTGAAAAATGTCAAAATAGTCAATATCCGAGGCCTGTAACAAAGTAAATAATTGAAGAATTACTTCTTTAAATTAATTGTTAAAATAAATAATTAAATTTACTTACCTTACAAAAACACTGATAATTCCTGAGTTATTTTTCTTTTCGTGTCGTATAAATATAAAATAATAAATCCCAGAAGTATTGAAAGAAAAAAGGTCGCAAGTTCAATAGAATGTAATTTTCATTTTTTCAATCCGGTTGAAAACAATAAAAACTTCTTTTTCTTCTTCTTAAATTGCTTGAGGAAAACAATAAAAACAATCCGGTTGAAAATTGAAATGTTTACTTTTGACCGACAATCGTTTTTTGACAGCCATCGACTCAACAAAGAGACAGAGAAAGCAAAACTCATATTGCAAATATAAAACAATTCGCCCCCTGGCGGGAATTTTATCAACCTCACAATTCAATCTTCTATCCTCTTTCAATATTCGCAAAAAGAAAGAGATGGGAACTCCCCCTAAAGTTCCATGAATATTTGTTTTCATCACATTGGTAGCACTTGCACTTTGTAAACAGCTGACTGAGTTTTGACAGTAGTCAGTCAGTGTTTTAAGATATAAAAAATAAATTCAACAAAAAGTGAGAAGTGAATGTGTTTTTGTGCATCGTCAAAGTTTACAACATTGTTTCGTACATTATGTGATCTCACTTTTTATAAGAAAGCGGAAATAATAAAAGATTGCTAGTACTTGAGTTCTTCAATTTACACCCCAAAAAAAAGAGAAAAACAATAAACTCAACATGAAGGCTTTCATCGAATTTGATGAATGTTTGCGAGATACACCAAAATTCCGGTAAGAAATTAATTTATCCCCCTAAAAGTGTTTGCTTATTCTGTAAATGAGATTTAAATATGTGGGTTCAAGCGCAGCTGTTACTATCGTTAATGATGCTCAATAAGTGTTTCAGAATCTTACATCTTCTTCTGATTAGTTCACACATGAAATATGTAAATTGTAGGTTCTTTGTTCGTTTTTCGAGATTTTGATTTCTAATTCACAGGTTATTAACCTCAATCTTTTGAAATAATTATTATTTTCTTTTTGAAAATGGGGCGAAAAAAGTTTTTTTTTCTCTATAAATAATTTATTTTATTTTAAATATCAAGATATTTAAAATCGAAGATTTAAAATAATATTCGAAACACTTGTTTTTACAGAATATGCATTGAAGATATGGAAAGCAATATAGATCAACTGGAGCAAAAACTAGATAAGGTATTATTTCACTTCTTTTAGGTCGAATATTTCTAAAAATTTGTTATTTATTTTGTATTTATTCTTGATTAATAATGTAATTAATAAATAGTAATCAATATTCTACATTAATTTTATTTATTTTATCTTTATATTGCTTATTTAACTAACTTATTTAACACAATAAAAAATATTGAAGTAAATTTAAATTAAAAAAATTAATTAATTAAAAAAAAATTAAAATTAATTAAAAAAATTAAATTAAAAAATTGTTATATTTTCAGGTTATAAAAAACTGCAGTTCTATGATTGATGCTGGAAAACATTTTATAGGACAACAAAGGTATTAAAATTTTTCTATTTTACAAGTAAAAAATTTACATAATTGTATATAGCTAATTATTTTTCATTTTGTTATTTTATTATTGAATTTTCTTCTTATAAACGATAATTTATAGAAAGAAATATTCAGTTTCTTTAAGGAGAAAAAATAATTTCAAAGCAAATTTTCAAGTACACATAAAAAGACGTTCTTTGTAATTTTTATTGAATTAGATGAAAATATATTTTTTCCCAAGTCGTATAATAACTGTGAGTATCCCAGGAATGTGACATGTGCTTGTGTATAGTTATATGTTGTGAACCAAACGAAAGGGGGGCAGGAAACGCGGGCAAATTATTTCTCTGCTTCAATATATGACTCATACCGTAGTTCCCGCGTAGAATACAATCAAGTCTTTTTTTTTTTAATGATAAGCTTCACACTTTGATGCATCTCAATATTTGAATTCTATTTTTTTTAATCTTTATTTGCCACAGGAAATTTTTTTAAATGGTTTAACTATTATAATTGATAATATTAAACTTTAACGTAATAAATTATTAAACTATCAAAATTATTGTTGTAATTATTAAACTATTAAAATTATTTTAATTATCTATTTTATTAAAAACTTTTGAGAACAATTGAATTGTTTAAGAAAATTTTATTACAATTTTTTAAAATAATTGAACTTATCTTGAATATAATTGAATTTTTTCCTAGAAATGTGATTAAAATTGTATTGAAAATAATTGAATTTATCAGAAGAATTTTATTATTTACGAAAATAATTGAATTCTTGCCAAGAATTTTACAATTTATAACAAAAATTGAACTGTTTCGACGTATTTTATCAGAATTGTTGAAAATAATTGAATTTTTATTACAACTCTTAAAAATAATTGAATTTAAATATTTTTAAAAATAATTGTATTTCTTTCGAAAAATTTTATTACAATTGTATTGTAAATAATCGAATTCCTCCGAAACATTTTATTATTTATGAAAATAATTGAATTTCTTCGAAACATTTTATTATTTATGAAAATAATTGAATTCTTTTGTAGAACTTTATTGTTTATGAAAATATTTTAACTCTTGCGAAGAATTTTCTTATTTATGAAGGAATTTTATTAAAAATTTTGAAAATAATGATTTTTTTAAAAGAATTTTATCAAAATTGTCAAAAATAATTGAATTTATATTAAAATTCTTGAAAACAATTGAATTTAATTAAGATTTTTAAAAATAATTGTATTTTTCTAGAAATTTTATTTAAATTGTATTGAAAATAATTGAATTGCTCTTAAAAATATTATTTATGAGAATAATGAAATTCTTGCGACTTTTATCGACTTATTTAAAAGAAATTGCGACTTTTTTTCCAAATTTTGAGACAAAATTTTTTCAAGTATTTTATTACAAATTTTTGAAAATTAACTTTCAAAGAATTTTAAAAAAGAAAATTTTGAAAATAATTGAATTCTCAAAAATTTTAATGAATAATCTTCAAGTGTAAATTCAATAAAAATGAAAATTAATTAAAATTAGGTTTTAAAAATAATATTAAAATAGTTTTGAAAAAAAGTTATTCTCTGAATTATTTTGTTTTAATTTTTTAAAATTAAATTATTTTTAATATTTTCGATATTTATTATTTTTAATATTTCCGAAAATCCAAATACATACATAAAATAATAACATTAAAATTTTTTAGAATTACTTTTAACTTTTTTGAAAAAATAATCATATTCAAAGTTTTTAATTAAAATTCTTCAAAAAATGATTTGTTTTTTAAATTATTAAATTAATTATTTTCGAAAAATTTCATTACAATTTATTTATAAAAAACTAATTCTTAGAATTGTTTTATCATAATTTTTTAAATTTCAATTACCTTCGAACAAAGTAAATTAAAATTTTTAAAAATGTACTATTTTTGAATTTTTCAGAAATCATTTACAATTAAAATTCTTCAAAAATTTGATTTTTTTTATATTTTTTAAAAAATCAATTATTTTTCAAAGATTTCATCAAATTTCAATTATTTTTCAAACATTTTACAATAAATTTAAATTATCTTTTAAAAGATTTTACCAAATTTTAATTATTTGGGCATTTTTTAATTGTATGCAATTGTAAAATTATTGTCTTTCAAAAATTATTTAGAAATATTTTTAAAAAGTTAATTTTACGAATTTCTTTATTAAAATTTTTGAAAATATTATATCATAATATCTTTAAAAAGAAATGTGTACGGTTTCAATAATTATTATAAAAAATTGAATTTTTTTTATTTAAATAATTTAATTCTCTAAGAACTTTAGGAAAATTATTAAAATTTAATACAGATAATTGATTTAAAGATAAAGTTTAGATAAAAATTGTAGAAAATAATTGAATTTTTGGCAGGGAAAAAAGTTTTTAGTTTCAATTTTTTTAAATAGTTTTTTGTTTTAATTTTTAGAAATTATTAAATTTCAGAAGTTGAAATTTTTTTTATTGTATTTTCTGCGAAAAAAAAATAAGAAGCATTTAAATATTTATTTAGCAAAATTATTGAAAGTATTGATTAATTAAATTTAGAAATCAGTGAAGAATCAGGGAAAAACAAAATAAAATTTTTGTGACAGCACTAAATTAAATAAATGACTTTTTCGACTTTTTTCTCTATTTTTAATCGACTAAAGCGACTTTTTTTGCTCGTTAAAGTCGATCCAAGGCCTGATAAATATAACAATTAACGTAAGTTATTAATAGTAATTAAAGAATAATAAATAAAATTTTCTTTCCACCTTTCAGTCAATTTGCAAATAGTCTTTGGGAGTTATCTCTCTATTTCAGCGATGATGCAGAGATAATGGCATTTTTAAACAAATTGATTCACGCCCTACAAGAAATGAACAAATTCCAAACAATTCTTTTGGATCAAGCGTCGAGAACTGTGATAAAAGATCTGAACTCATTCGTAAAAAGGTAAGAAATTAATCGAGTTTAATTAATGACTCAGTCGAATTGATAATAAAATTTTTTTTTATTACCATTTATCTCTCTCTCTCTCTCTCTCTCTCTTTCTCCGCAGTGATATTAAAAAAGTCAAGGAATCTCGACATTATTTTGATAAAATATCTGGTGATTTGGATATAGCGCTAAATCGAAATTCTCAAGTGCAAAAATCACGACCCGCTGAATATGAGGAGACATCGAATATTTTGTCAGCAACTCGATCGTGTTTTCGTCACACAGCTTTGGATTATGTTCATGCTTTAACAATGCTTCAAGCCCGCAGAAGACATGAGATACTTGGAACATTATTGAGTTATATGCACGCGTGTATTACTTTCTATCATCAGGGGAGTGATTTGGCTCAGGATTTGGATCCATTTCTCAAGACACTCAGCGATGATTTAAGTCGAATGAGAGGCGACTCAACGAAATTGGAGAAGGAAATGGAAAATCGACATATTTACGTGACCAATCGCGATTTTATTCCATCGGAAAGTGTTGGAAATAATAAAATGGAAGGTTATTTATTTAAGAGAACGAGCAATGCATTTAAAACGTGGAATAGAAGATGGTTCTGTTTGAAGGATCATCAACTTGTTTATCGTAAGCGAAGTGGTGACAAGGATTTTACAATTATGGAAGAGGATCTTCGTTTATGCACTGTTAAACCTGCTGTTGATTTCGATAGAAGAAATTGTTTTGAAGTTCTTAGTCCTACAAAGTGAGTTTATTGTTTATACAATTTTTTTTGCTGCTGCTGCTGATGGGAATATGATTTAGAAAAATTTGTGAAAAGAAAAGGAAATAAATTATTTTCTAATTATAGGAGTCACATGTTGCAAGCAGACAGTGAAGAAATGTACTTAGCATGGATAACGGCAATGCAGCAAGCTATCGGCGCTGCAATTCAAAGGGGAACGGGGACAGTTTCAAATTTCAATACTCTTTATGTTCCGACACACGATAGTAAAGGGCCAATACGACCTCCTCCCAAACCGAAAACTAGGTGAGATAATCAAAAAGTTTGCCAAATTAATTATTCTTCTTTATTATTTTCAAAAATTTTTATAAAATTTGTCGCAGAAATTTTTAAATTTTTTAAATTTTTTACTTCTTTTGTAAATAACATTCTTTGATAGAATTCAAATATTTTCAAAACATTTGAATAAAATTTTACTAAAGAATTCAATTATTTTTAATACAATTTTAATCGAATTTCACGAAAAATGTAATTATTCTTAAAAATTTTATTAAAATTCGTTGAAAGAAATAATTTAATTATTTCTAGAAACTGTAACAAAATTCTTCTCTAGAATTCAATTATTTCTAGAAACTGTAACAAAATTATTCTCAAGAATTCAATTATTTCTATAAATAGCAAAATTCTTCAGATTTACTATAAATTCTTTTGAATATTATTTTAAAAAAATATTCTTCACAAGAATCTAATTATTTTCATAAATTTTCATAAAATTCTAAAAAAAACAATTCAATTATTTTCAAAAGTAATAAAATTCTTCGCATAAATTTAATTATGTTTAAAAACTTTTTTAAATTCTCCTGAAAAATTCAATTATTTTTATAAATAATAAAATTATTCTCCACAATTCAATTAATTTTAAAACATTTTAATAAAATTTTTCCGAAGAATTCAATTATTTTCGTAAATAATAAAATTCTTGGCAGAAATTCAATTATTTTTATAAATAAAAAAATTCTTTACAAAAATTCAATTATTTTTTTTTATAAATAGTAAAATTCTTTACAGGAATTCAATTATTATCAAAACATTTTAATAACATTTTTCTCAAGAACTCAATTATTTTCGTAAATAATAAAATTCTTTGCCGAAATTCAATTTTTTTATAAATAATAATAATTCTTCAGAAAATTCAATTATTTTATTTATTTATTTATTTATTTATGTATTTATAATACAATTTTATGAATAATATAAGTTTTTTTTTAGAAATTCAATTTGTTTCCAAACAATTTTAATAAAATTTCACGAAAAAATTAAATTATTTCCTTAAATTTCGATAAAATTCTTTAAAACGTATCAATTATTTGTATAAATAAATAAATTCTTCTTAGGAATTAAAATATTTTTAATCCAATCTTAATATCATTTCTCGAATAAGTTGAATTATTTTTAAATAATTATAATAACATTTTTCTAAAATATTAATTTAATTAATCTCAAAAGTTTTGATAAAATTTCTTTTAAATTTCAATTATTAACAAAATTTACAATAAAAATTGTTTAAAAAAATACATTATTTTAAAGGAATTCTTCAAAAAAATGTAATTAATTACGAAAATTAAAACAAAATGGTTTAAAAGAATTTAATTTTCTCTCAATAATTTTAATAAAATCATTATTTAGATTTAGAACTATTAATAAGTACGATTATTTAAAAAATTGAAAATAAATTCTTTATAAAATTCAATTATTTTTAAAATTTGCAATGAAAATGATTTAAAAAGTTTCATTATTTTCAAAAAATTAAAATATTTGTAATTCTTGCCAAGAGTTAAATTTCTTTCAAAAATTTGAATAACATGAACAATTTTAATAGAATTTCTGGAAACGATTCAATTATTTCCTAAAATTTTGATAAAATTCTTTAAAACAATTCAATTATTGTCAACAAATATTGAAATATAATTCTTGCCAAGAGTTAAATTATTTTCAATAATTTTAAAGACATTCTTGGGAAGAATTCAATTTTTTCATAAATAATCAAATTCTTGGCGAGAATTTAATTATTTCAATACAATTTTAATAAAATTCTTTGCAAGATTAAAATTATTTCCATAAATAATACAATTTTTCAAAGGATTTCAATTATGTTCAAAAACGTTAATAAAATTCTCCCTAAAAATTCAATTATCTTCATAAAAAGTAAAATTCTTTTCAAGGTTTCAATTATTTTCTTAATTAATAAAATTCTTCGGAGGATTTCAATTATTTTCAAAAATTTGAAACAAATTCTTGTCAAGAATTCAATTTTTTTTCATAAATAATTGAATTCTTTACAGAATTTCAATTATTTTCAAAAATTTGAAATTAATTAATTGAGTTATTTAAAAAAACACAAAGAAATTCTTCAAAAGAATTAAATTATTTTCTATATTTTAATAAAATTCCTTGAATGAATTAAATTATTTTAGAAAATTTTAATAAAATTCTGAGAAAAATTTAATTATTTTCTAAAAATTTTAATTGATTAAATTTGATTAAATAATCAAAATGTTTCATTTCAATTATTAACAAACGCGATTATTTAAAAATTTTTGAAAGAAATTGTTCATAAAATTAAATTACTTTCACAATTTTCAATTAAAATTATTAAAGAAAATCCATTATTTAAAAAAAAAAATCCAAAGAAATTTTCCAAAAGAATTTAATTAGGATTTCTAAAAATTTTAATTACATTTTTCTCGAGAAATCTATTATTTTCATAAATAATAAAATTCTGCGAAGGAATTCAATTATTCTCAAATTTTTTGATAAAATTCTTTGTAAGAATTCAATGATTTTTAATACATTAATTTTAAAATTGAAAATATTTGAAAAGAAAAATTATTAAAAACGTTTGGGAAATTAAAAAGCAAACAATAACTAACATGAAACTGCGAATAGATTACCGAAATACAACGATTATTAATATAGATTACTATTTTCCAGGGTATGGGAACAACTGCTAAAAATACCAGGAAACAATAGTTGTTGCGATTGCGGAGGCGATAATCCAACATGGGCGAGTATTAATTTGGGCATCACTCTTTGCATTGCTTGCTCAGGCGCTCACAGAAGTCTTGGAGTTCATTACAGTAAAGTAAGATCATTGACACTCGACGATTGGGAGCCGGAAATTTTAAAAGTCATGGCCGAGCTAGGAAACACAGTAGTGAATAATATTTACGAAGCTCTACCAATACCACCGGATATTATAAAGGCAACGCCAAAATGCAATGCGTAAGTTTTTCAACTTTCTTCATTTCCTTTAATTTATCCAATCTCAAATTTATATGAAACAAAAAATTATCTTTCCTTACAGAACATTTCGCGAGGCTTGGATAAAATCCAAGTACATAGACAAAAAATTTGTAAAATCACTCACCACGTTAACAACGGGACAACACGCAAGTCGAGAATCAATGCATTTTCGCATGTGGAGCGTTAGAAAATTACGAAGAAGACCACGAAGCAGAGACAAAATGGATTTAACAAGTAAAAATAAAATTCCCACATTAAAATCAGTGAAAGAATCATCGCAATCTGTCAGTTCCGAGGAAACAAATTCAACCGAGAGTCTATGCTCATCATCGGAAAAATCGAAAAAAATCGAGAGAGACTCTGTTAGTTCAGACGACAGTGTCAATGTTGTATTAAAAAATGAATCAACTTTGTATAAAATTCTTCCAGAAGATTATTTAAAGATTGTTCGAGAAGCCGAATTGATGAGTTTGGGAATTAATGATAACAATTGTAAGGAAAATAATAGTTCAGATAGTAATTCATCATTGAAAAGTGTTGATTTCTCCAGTAGTGCTGCTATTTCAAATGACATTTGCGATCGTTCCGAAAGCAAGGATATCGATACGGAAAAGTGTAAAAATAAAATAAAGGATTCCGATATTCTTCTATTTGGCTGTGATTTGCCCAAATCAATGTTAGAATCGAGTTTGGAATTAAGTTCCGATCAGGATTCAACGGCTGGCGAAGAAGAGGAATTTGCCGATGAGGAAGATATTGAAAATTTACATCCCGATATGTTGCTTTATAAAGCTGCTGTGGCGCATAATCTTCCTGTTATGTGCGCCGCATTGGCCGTTGGTGCTGACAAATTGTGGAACAATGTCAATGATAGAGGACGAAGTCCATTGCATCAGGCGATAATTAGTGTGAGTTTTCAAAGTTTTTATAATTTTCATTAAATATGAAACAAGTTTTACAATTTGATTTTAATTGTATTTTTTATTTTATTGTAAAATTAATTTGGTAGTTTTTACTTCTACTTTTGGAACTTTAGTAATTTTGGTAGTTTTTGGGCCTCGGATATTATGACTTTTTTCGACTTATTTTCAAAAATTGAGACTATTTCTGGGTGTCTACTATTTTCGTTCAACAAAATTCTCAGTTATTTCCTGGTTTTGTCCTAATTTTTCCCGCTTTTTTTCTCGTCAAATTTAAATTTATTTGATTTCGAACATAAATAAATCTATAAATGGCTTCCAAATTTTTTATTCGTTTTTATGAATAATTAAATTCTTTTAACAAGTTTCTTTAAATTTTTTGAAAATAATGTTTTTTTTTAATAATTTTAATTAAAAATTTGGAAAATAAATTAATTAAACAAAGAAATTTTTCGATTTTTTAAAATAATCTTGTCTGTTCATAATTATAATTGAAAATTTGATTAATTCAATTTTATTAAAATGTTTTGATACTAATTGAAATTCTGCAAAGAATTTTACTATTTCTAAAAGTAATTGAATCCTTCTAAAGAATTTTATTACATATTTATAAAAATAATTAAATGTTTGCGTGGAATTTTATTAAAATTTTAGAAAACAATTGAATTGTGAAGAACAATTTTTTTATTTATAAAAAAATTGAGTTTCTGCAAAGAATTTTATTATTTACGAAAATAATTGAATTTCTGCGAAGAATTTTATTACTTTTCAAAAAAATTGAATTGATTTTTAGAATTTTATGGAAATTTGTAAAAATAATTGAATTCTTGTGAAGAATTTTTTTTTAAAATAATATTCAGAAGAATTTAGTAAATCTGAAGAATTTTGCTATTTATAGAAATAATTGAATTCTTGAGAAGAATTTTGTTACAGTTTCTAGAAATAATAGAATTATTTCTTTTGACGAATTTTAATAAAAATTTTAAGAATAATTACATTTTTCGAGGAATTCGATTAAAATTGTATTAAAAATATTGAAATTCTGCAACGAGTTATACTATTTATGAAAATAATTAAATATATTGCGAAGTAATTTTTAAAATTAATATTATAATTACAGTTACTAACTTGCCTTGATTATTTTCGAAAAGTTTAAATAAAATTCTTTAAAAGAATTTAATTAGTTTTAATAGAATGTAAAGAAATTTCAATTTCTTCTAAAATTTTCAATTATTTATCACTTATTAAATTAAAATACTTTGAAAATTCGATTTTTTATAAAGTTTTTAAGGAAATTCTTTAATAAATTTTATTATTTTCAGTTGAATTTCACAAATTTTTATTAATTCGATAATCTTTTTTTATGTATTTTAAACTAATTCAAATTTAGAGAACACTATAAATATCTATAAAAATTGAAATAAAGTGCAACTTATTTTGATTTTTATAGTGCGAAAAGTATAAATATAGGTAAATCTTTCAAAAATTATTTTTGAATACTTTTTCTAATTAAGTTTTCGAAATATACAATTGAAAAGATTTGGAATAATTAAAGTTTAGTAAAATTTAATTGAAAATATTTGATTTACTCTTTAAGTATTTTATTACAATTTTTGAAGAATTTTTATTGCAAATTTTGAAAATAATTGAATTCGCAAAAATTTTAATGAAAAATCTTCAAGTGTAAATTTGAAAAATGAAAATTAATTAAAAATAGCTTTGAAAAAATTAATTATATATAATTATTATTGAGAAAACAATCATTTTTAGCACTTTTAATTAAAATTCTTGAAAAAATTAATTATTTTGTTTTTAAATTATACAAAAATTCTTTTCAAAAAACCAATTATTTTCGAAAAATGATAATACAATATTTTTAAATAACTAATTTTCAGGAATTTTTTATGATAATTTTTTAATTATCTTCGAACGAAGTGAATTGAAAATTTTTTAATTTTACTTTTTTTTAGACTTAATAATATTTCGGAGAAAACCTAATCATATTTAAAATTGAAATTCTTCAAAAATTTGATTATTTTTTTATATTTTTCAAAAATTACATTATTTTTAAAAGATTTTACCAAATTTTAATTATTTTTAAAAGAATTTACCAAATTTACATTATTTTAAAAATATTTTACCAAATTTCCATTATTTTTAAAAGATTTTGCCAAATTTCCATTATTATAAAAAGATTTTACCAAATTTGAACTGTTTCGAAGATTTTTAATTGAATACAATTGAAAAATTATTTTAAAATATTTTTAAAAAATTTATTTTAAAATTTTCTTTCTTATAATATTTGGAAAATAAAGAAAAACTATGTCCGTTACAGTTATAATTATAGTAAGAAATTGAATTTTTTTATTTAAATATTTTAATTCTTGAATAACTTTCGAAAAATCATTAAAAATTGAATTAGGTATGAAATTTAGTTAAAAATTGCAGAAAATAATTTAATTCTGAAATAATTGTAATTTTCAGAAATTATTAAATTTCAATTTCAAATTTTACTTTCTGTGGAAAAAAATACGAAGTATTTAAATATTAATTTTAAAAAATTATTCAAGTTTTGAATAATTGAATTTATAAATCAGTGAAAGGGGTAAATTAGACAAATATAAAATAAAATCTCAATTTTTTTTTGTTATTCGACTAAAGCGATTTTTTCGCGCCTTAAAGTCGATCCGAGGCCCGTAGTTTTTTTTTTGGTAAAAATCAATTAAATAGAAATTCTATTATAAATTTCGAACAGATGAGTTTTTTCAAGAACTCAGAATTAGTTAATTATAATAAAGTTTATATTTTTTAAAAATTTCTAGGGTTCCGTAATGTCATGTGAATACCTACTTCTTAATGGTGCTCGAATAAATTGTCAGGACGCAGAAGGAAAAACTCCATTGCACTTGGCTACAGAATTGGGTAATTATTCAAAATCGTAAAAATATTTAACCTTGCAATTTTTGCGGCAATTAAAATTAATTAATTAATTGTTATTTTATTTATCCAAGGTCACACAGCCCAAGTATGTTTATTGTTGAAACATCATGCTGATCAACATATTGAAGACGAAACCGGTGTTAAACCACTTTCAATCGCAGTGAAAGAGGCAAATGCGGATATAGTCACTTTGTAAATAAACTATTCATTTATAATTCTAATCTAAAAATTCAGTAATTATTAATTAACAATTAATTATTAACTATTTATTATTAACATTTATTATTAACTATTAATTAGTAATATTAATTATTAACTATTAATTATTTATAGTCTATATTTTGTTTATATTTTATTTATAGTCTATATTTTGTTTCTATTTCATTTGCATAATTATTTTCGAATTTGAAATAATTGAAATTATCGTTTTTTCCTTTACAGACTACGACTTGGATTATTAAACGAGGAAATGAAAGATTCCGAAATTGGAGTTTCGGGCGATGAAACATTCAATGACGTGGTTCGCGATTTTAGTCATTTGGCCTGCTCACATCCCGAGAGGTTGCAAAGAAGAAATGACTACAATAATTCAAATGCTCCAGAATGATTTTCAATCAACTGGCCACGAAAGGTCTTTGAATTTCTAATAGATTCGCGTTCAAAGGATTAAAATGCCTGATTAAAGAGGATGCAAAACAATGATCCAGTTGGAAGTCTACGATCTCCGATTAAAAGAACTAAAAAAGTTTTATCAAAAAAAAAAGGTAAATTTTCATCAATCTCACACTTTTATTCGTACCTGAATAATAATATTTAAAAAAAACGAAAGAATAGTATTTAAAAAAAAACGAAAGAATAAAGCATAAATAATTCGACAAGAAAGATCAAACCTCAATGAATTCGTTAATTCATTATTGATATCGATCTAAAGAAAAAAAGCTTTTATATAATAAATTATACGTTTTGAAATAATGAAAAAAAAACTTTTGAAATAATGAACTTTCAAAAATAGGAATATAAGAGCTAATTTAATTTTGACAAATTTTATTTATGTCTAAGTACATAATTTGATTTTATTATCGCATTCCAAAGCGTTAATAAAACTCTTTATTGAGTGTTTATTTAGCATTCGTAAAAAATTGTGCTTCATACTTATTTAATGAAAGATGGAACATTTTTAAACCATCCGATTTTTACATATACTTAATTATATATTTATACAAATAAACTTTTTTTTTTTAAATTATTTTTAAAAGCAGATTCTTAAGCGAAAGTCCTTAAATCACAGAGGAAAACGGTGATTTTTGCCATTATTTTAACTTTAATCTTAAAAAATATTTTTAACTTGACTCTGAAAATCAGAAAAAAGAAGTAATAGAGCTTAAAAAAGGAGTAAGAAATATTAATGAAAAAAAACTCATGACAACCTTATAATTTTTAAATTATAAATAAAAAAAAATATTCTGTGCCAATTGCTAAATGTGATTTACATTTTTGCTAATGGCGGAAAAAGTTTTTAAATGTACATAAAAATGCAATTGTTTAAATAGTGCCGTTAATGTTGACTATATACAATCAATTGTGAATGAGAAACTTGTTGCCAAATTTTAGGTATTATATTATTAATATACATATTTGTAAATAAAAATTATAGAGAAATGCAAACCAATGAATTTTAAGTAAGTGTGCAGTGCATACCGCATAACAAACGTCTTTTCATATTCATAAATAAAAAAATTAGAATTTGAAAATATTAAAATAGTATTTGAAAGTTTTTAAAAATTAGATTAGCAAGTCCAATTTGCTTAAATGCTTTCAATTTAAAGAATTAATTCAATTTATAGAATTCAAAAGAAAAATTATCTTTGTGATATAAAATCATTTTTAAGTTTCAAAATTTATTTTTCTAGAAAATACTTATCGTTCCATGTTCTTAGAAATATTTTATTTTATTTTTTTTTTTTACTAAATGTAGAATTGCGGATTAGGTGACTTTTCGATTTTTTAGTTAAAATTAAAATTTTCAGTTCTATTGTAAAAATATACTTTTTTTTTTGTCTCATTTTTATTGAAAATTTTTTTTTCTAACAGAAGAAATAAATAAATAGATTTATGTAGATTTTGCAATTTTACTAAAACTTGGAGAAATAATTTCTATTTTTATTTTTAACGGAAAGTTTCACTGCCTCTCTGCATTAACAATTAAACGCTTCCGAAAAATGTAATTCCCATTTTAATAAAATTGCTAGTAATTTTAATGTTCTGCATTTTTTTTACATTGCTTTTATTAACGTACAATTTAATTTTATACCCAATATGAATTTTTCACGAGTATTTTTTAATGTGTTCGTTTAATAACTTGTTTTAATATACATTTATTTAATTTTTGATATTTTTTAATTTATAAATTAATTTTAATTTTTCACACATTTATAAATGGTCAACATTGAAAATAATTTTGTATTTTATCATCAGCCAAGAGTCGAATAATTTATAATTAATTGTAGAATTACGTATAATTTGGCATTAAGTGAGAAACGATTTGAAACGATTTCCCTAAAAGGGAAACGATTTTTACGCCTATAAAAGAAAAAAAATTTAAATCTTAGTAGTTATTGAAATTATTACGAAATGAATAGAAAAAAAAATATTTGTTAAAGGCTGTCAATTAATATGTAGAAAAAAAAATTCGTATTATTTGAAAAGTATTCATCACATATTGAAAAAAAGAGTCACAAAATCTTGATTTTTTAAAAATTGATTAAAAGTAATTAAAAAATTGATTAACAGTAATTAAAAAATTAATTAAATTAATTAATTAAAAAATTAATTAATAAGATGCAATGACTTCTTTTTTGCTTCTCGGATTGAATTTAACTCTCTTCTCATGAATTTTACTGTAAAAGAACAAATGTCTTTGTTAATAATATAACATGTAGAAACCGTAAAGAAAATGTGAGCGTTACATTGAATGAATTATACGAATAAGTTATTGCCGAATGTTTATATAGAAATTGTATACATCTTTATGCCATTTAAAATATATGTGTGTATCACAATTGATATAGAAAATGAAGAGTTTCAATGAAAATGAGGCCAAGTCACAGTAATCTTTCCTTTTTCACAAACATTTGATAATTAAATTAATTTTATTTTCAGTCTAATATTATTTACGACTTTTTTCCGATTTCCTACTATTTGGAAACTTTTTCCAATTTCTGACAATAAGAGCTACTTTTTTTGTTGAAAATTTGCACAAATTTAAATTCGCCAAAGTTGGAATAAAAAAATTATTCTTAAAAATTTGTAATAAATTTCTTTCAAACAATTCGATTATTTTCAAAACAAAATTTTCGAAATTATTAATTTCAATTATTTTCAATATCTACTATAAAAATAAAAAAATACTTTATTATATTTTTAATCAACAAATTGGCCAAATTTTTATTTAAAACTTAAAAATTTATTTTCCTCAATTTTTGATTTTCTTACAGATTTTTATATTTAGAATTTTTTATTTAAATCCCCACAAGTTAGCAAGAGACAGACTATATTAACATGAAAAAAAAATCTTCAAAGGTGAGTTTCAATTTTTTTTTTCTGTATTTGATTTTTATTTGATGTTTTCTTTATAATAAATTTGAAATTTTCAATGTTGTAGGGATTAGAAGACAAAACATCTTTGAAACAGAGAGGAAATGAGACACACATTTTCTAAAATTACGGAAGATTTATGTATATATTGAGAGAAATATTATTTTCTAAGAAATTTGCGTCTCTAATTCAAGGTTTCGTTTTTTTCTCTTTCTTCTTTTTTCTTTTTTTGTGTGCGTGTGTGAAAAGAAATCGCAGAGGAGAGAAAAACTTGAATTTTATAAATTAAAAGCTACATTTGCAGAGATCAAAGTCCATGGTCTTTGTCAGCGGTCAATTGACGCATATCGGTGGTTTTATCGGTATAGTTGGCAGAAACTCAGACGCATAATCCACGCACAGTGATTTATAATTTGCTTCTCTCGTTCATCAAGAACGACGTCGTATCGAGAGTACACTAGCTTCGCTTGACAAAAAGCGCTGCGACAATAGATGAGAACATGAAGATTATTTCAAAGACTAGACTCTGTATTTCATTTTTTTTTTTTTTGGGTATCTAACTTTTCTTTTATTTCAGCGAACTTTTTTGATCGCTTTCTTGTATTTTGCTTCTTCTTCTTTTTGTTTTTTCATTTCATTTCATCTACTAAAACCTACTATTTACTACTTTTTTTACGTTATGCTACTATTTAAGTTCTTTTTTTAGATATCAGCCACTAAAAGCTACTATTTCTGTTATTTTTTTTTTGAGAATTTCCATAACTTTAAATTTGCAAATACTGGAAATCAAAAAACTATTCTCAAAAATCATAAACAAACTCTTTAAAACGATTCAATTATTTTCAAAAAGTATTCGAAATTCAATTATTATCAATATCTATATAGTCACAGAAATTCAATTCTTTTTAAATATTTTAATAAAAATTTTCACAATAATTCAATTATTTTCATAAATAATAAAATTCTTCTCAGGAATTCAATTATTTTTTAAAATTTTAATACAATTCTTAGCAACTATTCAATTATTTTCCATACATAATAAAATTCTTCGTAGGATTTCAATTGTTAAAAATTTAATTTCAATTCCTCGAAAAAATCAATTATTTCAAAAAAATATTTTTTTTTATTTCTTTGAAAGAATTCAATTATTTTCAAATATTTTAATAAAATTGTTCCAAAGAAATCAATTATTTTAAATACAATTCTATTTAAATCTTTTTTGACATAATCCAATTATTCTTTTAGATTTTAATAAAATTCTTCCCAAGAATTCAATTATTTACATAAATAATTCTTCGAACGAATTCAATTATGTCGATAAATAACAAAATTAATCCCGAAAATTCAATTATTTTGACGCATTTTAATAAAATTCTTTGCAAAATAATAATTATAATTCAATTATATTCATAAATAACAATATTAATCACAAGAATTCAATTATTTTTAAAAGTAATAAATTTTGTCTTGAAAATTCAATTATTTTCAAAAAAAAATTTCAATTATTCTCAAAAATTTTAATAGAAGTCTTTGTAAAATTTAATTATTTTTAAAAACTTTTCTTAATTCAATGATTTTTAATACCTAATATTTTTATAAAATTTCCAAACAAAATTCTCTGTAATTCAATTATTTATATTAGAATTTGCATAAAATTCTTTAAAAAAATTAAATTATTTACAGAACTATTAGAATTTGCATAAAATTCTTTGAAAGAATTCAATTATTTACAAAACTATTAGAATTTTTCACAGGAATTCAATTATTATCAAATATAAAAATAAAGTTGTTTTAAAGAAATTAATTATTTTAAATACAATTTTAATTAAATTTTTTTGAAATAATTCAATTATTTTTTTAAATTTTAATACAATTTTTCGCAATAATTCAATTATTTTCAAAACTAACAAAATTTGTCACAGAAATTCAATTCTTTTTAAATAGTTTAATAAAATTTTCCACAATAATTCAATTATTTACATAAATAATAAAATTCTTCTCAAAAATTCCAATATTTTTAAAAATTTTAATTCAATTCTTAGCAACTATTCAATTATTTTCTATAAATAATAAAATTCATCGCAGGATTTCAATTATTTTTAATACAATTTTACAGGAGTTGCTCAAAAAATGTAATTATTCTTAAAAATTTAATTTCAATTCCTCCAAAAAATATATTATTTAAAAAACTGCTTTTTTAAATTCTTCCCGAGAATTCAATTATTCACATAAATAATTCTTCGAAAGAATTCAATTATGTCGATAAATAACAACAGTATTCATGAAAATTCAATTATTTTTTTAGGCATTTTAATAAAATTCTTCGTAAAATTCAATTATTTTTATAAATAACAATATTTATTATAAGAATTCAATTATTTTTAAAAGTAATAAATTTCTTCTCGGAAATTCAATTATTTTAGAAAATTCTAATAAAATCGTTTGCAAGAATTCAATAATAATTATTGTCAAAAAATTTTAATTGAATACTTTGTAAAATTTAATTATTTTTAAAAAGTTTTCGCAATTCAATGATTATGAATATCTACTATTTTCATAAAATTTACAAACAGAATTCAATTATTTAAAAAAAATTTTGTAAAAATCTTTGTAAGAATTCAATTATTTTCATGATTAAGAAAAATTTCTCGGGAATTCAATTATTTAAATTAGAATTTGCATAAAATTAGTCGAAAGAAATCAATTATTTGAAAATTTTTATAAACTTCTTGACAAGAATTAAATTATTTTTTTAAATATATATTAAATTGTTTTGATGAATAATAAAATTCGTTCCAGGAA